GCTTGATCAGGCGCTTTATCAAATGCAAGGATTAATATTATTATTACTATTATTATCTGTCTTAGTTTGCAAGCGCTTGGTTTGCAAAGGGGCTTTCAACTCAGAAACAGTGAGGCAATCCTTTACCACCCCCTCCTCCCACAGCCCCCTCCCCAAAATACTTAATACTGAAATTCTACCTGGTTAATATTACGAAAAATAATAATTTTGTCATTCAATCCAGGGTTTGTGGGACACTACTGAGTAATTGGATGCCACGTTTTGATAAGGCGCTGTATCGATAATAACAATCCTTGCATTTGATATAGCTCCTTATCATGCCTTCGAGACGTCTCAAAGAGCTTCACAGAATATATTGTGAAGTGAATTGACTGTATATTTTGTGTGCAAAACTCGGCAGCCATTGCGCACAGCACCGTCCCACAACGGGTTGAGTGACCAAATTATTATTACTTTTATATCAAACGTAAGGATTAATAATAATAATTATCATTATTAATCATTTTAATAATCCTATTATTATTATTAAAGTTACGTTTGAGAGCTTCCAGGGTTGCATGAATTCTTAAATGCAGTCAGGTTTTAATTATGAATGACGAATAATTTTCTTTGAAATTAAAAAAAAATGAAATGGAATTCAACAATTTGCCAAACACCTGACCTGACCAGGGCTGAAACGTTAACTTTAACAGAATAAAACTGTTGAAAATTTCTGTGAAAATACATCCTATCTTGCGTTCAGATGGCAGAGGAGAATTTACCTTCAAAAGGAAAGTGTGGGATTTGCAAACCCAAGCGTTATTATTATCATTATTTCGTAACGAAAAAACACACTGGAATTAGAATAGATCAACCCATGGAAAGGAAGGCAAAATAACTGAAGCGATTGACATCCTGTAACAAGGGGATTTGACACGTTGGAAGACAGATCGATCCAGTCTTTGCTGTGTGTGTGTGTGTGTGTGAAAAATAAAACTGAAAGAAAACTTAATTGAAAGAAAACAGAATATCTTCTTACCCGTCAACAATTCTCAATGCCATTGCAATCTGCTGATTTAATGCGATCCTTTCTTTGGAAAGTTTATCATTTGTAGGATGAATATTGTAGGATAAATATTTTTGGGGGCTTGGTGTGTGATTCGTGCTGATTGCTGTATGCCATGTGTCAGGCAGCAATATATGTAGAGAGACAGATAGATACATAGATGGATGTGTGTGTGTGTGTGTTGTCAAATCATTTCAACTCATCAATGATCCATGATTCGCTGTGGGTTGCGAATGAAATGGCAAAAGGGGATTCGTTAAAAAGCGTGGAAGTTTGCGCAATGAGCTTTCGGTAAATCTGTTGATTTGAAGGGGGTCCATATCTCCTCTAATGGTGCAATGTTCCACACACACACACACACACACAAGGGGGAAAATTCGAGACGTTCGAATAATTATATTATAATTATAATTCAGAACAATTGGGTCTCACTCAATCTATCACCGTTTGTGAAACACCGCTGTGTGCAATCGGCTACTGCGTTTCGCCCACAAAATACACCAGTCAATTCAGTTTGCGGTGTATTCTGCAAAGCTCTTTTAAAACATCTCGAACACGTAATAAGACGCCGTAACAGATGCAAGGGTTGTTAATATTATTCATTTACGTTTGGGTTAATTATTGAACGTGATCGAAGCCTGAGAAAGATCATGGACACTTTCCTAAAATACTCCTTGCATTTGATATAGCGCGCCTTATCACTTCTCAAAGAATACACCGTACGTAGAATCATACCGTATATATATATTCACAGAATATACTGTAAAGTCAACGGACTGCGTACGATTTGTGGGCGAAACATAAAATAGAAATAACACGAGACCAATTTTTGCTGTGCGTTCGATAGAGGACTTGGATGACAAGAAATAGGTGGAAAGACAGAGGGATGGGTGTGTAAAAGTATTCAGATAAGGGTCGCCATCCAAAACGCTCAGTCGAAATCCCGTCTGGGTAGGCGAAAGCAAAGAGAGACATGCTTATCCACATAAAAAGGGTTCTTACTGTCCTGTGTGTGTGTGTGTGTGTGTAAAAGCTAAACATTATTATTGCAGTTAATTTAATCACATCCATTCAATATTTTCTGTGGGTTCCCCACAAACGGAGAAGGTTTCATGTGTCCAACCAGCTGCAGACCACAAAATACACCAGTCGATTCACTTTACAGTATAATCTGTAAAACCCTTTGAGACGTCTCGAAGACGCGATAAGGAGCTATATCAAATGATTACTATTATTATTATTATTGTTGAAACCCCTCGATAAAACCACTCGATTTTCACGTTTTCCTTATTTGTCTCTCACACTCTCTCTCTCCCTCTCTCTCCTCCGACCCCACCACCCCAAAACAAAACACTGAAATAAAACGAAACGAGCACAAAATGCATTTGTTTTTATTATTATTAATTTCAAAATCTCAGCAGTTTACTCCATCACATCACTCTTCCTTCCTTCCTTCCTTCCTCCCCCCCCCCCCCCCCCCACCCCCACAGTTGTATTTGCTCCGAACGAACGAAATAAGTAATAAATATTATTTAGCACATTTTTTTTTACAAAATACAAAAATAAAACAGACGTAAGCCAACTTTTTCTTTGCTTCATTTGCTCTTCTCTTTCGTTCTCTCTCTCACTCACTCTCTCTCTCTCTCTCTCACACACACACACACACACACACTCGATGGGAAATATTACAAGGGTTAAGTCGCACTGAGGACAAGCAACAACAACAACAACACACACAGATAGGTACATGTGGCAGTGCGTAATATAGCACATTTTTTTGTTTTACGCAGAAAGGTCTTATTTAGCTCAAGCCCTTAACGGAAATGCAAGCAGAGGAACTGATAAACAGCGCAAAAAAGGAATCATTCGTAACAAACACACGCACTCACACGCACTCACCCACACCCACCCACAAAATAAGACATTCGTTGCTCTCATTCGTTGCGAAGTTAACAGCTATTTACAGAAAGATTTACAGTGGATTTTTTTTTCAAAAAAAAAAAGAAAAGAGAATTCACTTCGAGCAAATATTCGGACACACGGGTTTTCAACTGAACAGACGTGGATCAAGTTATATATATATGTATACACACGCACACAAATATATATATATGAAATGCAACTTGTGTTAATTTCTACGCAGTCTTTTGCAGTAAAAGTCCTTTTTTTTATCCTTTGCTGGGAGGGGGTTTGAGGGGTTTGAGGGGGTGAGACAGAAGACAACCCAAAGTCTCAAGTCCAGAGATGCTCTCCCTCTCCCTCTCTCTCTCTCTCTCTCACACACACACACAGAGTGCTTTACCTCTCATCGTGTCCTCATCATTCAAACCAAGCAGTTTGCCCAAATCCATGTGTGATACAAGTCTATCGATCACGTCCGTTTTGACCCGATCTTTCCCCCCTCCTCAAAGCTCGGTGTGTTTCTGCTTCGATCCGACAAAAACCTCGCCAGGTTTATTTAGCAAGTGGTGTTTTTTTTTCTCTCTCTCTCTCTTCTCTTCTCTTCTCTCTCCTCCAGCGACAGAACAAGTTCCCGTGTCTGTCTGACACGCAGCCACCAAAGTGCACAGAGTCATCACTCCTCTAAAGCTGGTGGATGCGAAGGATAGATCCACATATATATATGTATATATTTTTTTTTTGGGGGGGGGTGTCATTTCACCTCGAATAAAGTTGCAATGTCCATTTCACTGTCTCTTTTTCTCTCTCTCTCTCTCTCTCTCTCGTTATTGGAAAGACAAACACCCCGAAACGACATTTGTTTTTTGTTTTTAGTATGAAAATCACGTTGGAAAACAAATAAAACAACAAAAAAAAACGAAAGTTATATATATATATATAATATATATACATATATATATAGTGTGTGTGTGTGTGTGTAAAAACAAGAGAGGAAAATCCCTCAACAGACATTTGGACCTGAAACTGACAACGTGGGTCGGTTGGGTTGAGGGCGAACAAATGAATTGGATACACATAAAAAAAGGTACAATTTCATTAAAAACAAAGAAACGATTTCTTTTTGTATGTATATATATATAGATATAAACACTTCAATAATGATCTCTCTCTCTCTCTCTCTCTCTCTCTCCCCCTCTCTCAAGTATCAAGTTAAAGAAAGTTAAACAAAGAGTAGTGATAATGGGGAACTTCAACGATGATCCAAACATAGACTGGAGGATTTTTTTTGGGGGGGGGGCTGTAGAGTAAAGGGGAAGGGGGGAGATGGGGGGAGAATTCCTGAAATGTGTTATGGGAGAACTTTCTTGGTCCCTATGTTTCCAACCCCATGAGGAAAGGAAGCAGTGCTGGATCTGGACCTGGGGAATGAAGAGGGGGCGAGTGGAGAGTATTTGGATAACATTGATGACAATATCATCAGGTGTAGAGGAGTAACGGTGGTCCCTGTCAGAGATAGACAGACATACAGAGCAGACAGAGAGGGACAGGACAGACAGACAGATACATAGATAGTTGGTGTCTCTGTTGACAGACTGACAGACAGGACAGACAGACAGATAGATAGTTGGTGACTGTTGACAAACAGACAGACAGGACAGGGCAGACGGATAGACAGACGTAGACAGATAGTTGGTGTCTCAGTTCAGTTGTTGGAAAAGGCAGTAGATGGGGAGGTTGGGTGGGTAGGGTGGTAGGCAGGGAGGGGGAGGTGGGGGTGGTTGGGTGGTGGGCAGGGAGGGGAGATTGGGTGTGTTGGGTGGTGGGCAGGGAGGGTGAAGTTGGGTGGGTTGGGTGGGGGGCAGTGAGGGGGTGGTGGGCAGGGAGGGTGAGGTTGGGTGTGTTGGGTGGTGGGCAGGGAGGGGGTGGTGGGCAGGGAGGGTGAGGTTGGGTGGGTTGGGTGGGGGGCAGGGAGGGGGTGGTGGGCAGGGAGGGTGAGGTTGGGTGGGGGGCAGGGAGGGGGTGAGGTTGGGTGGGGGAGGAGGGAGGAGGGGAGGAGGTTGAGAGAGCAATGTTAACGCTCGAGGGCTGAAGCGAAACCGTTTCACTTGCTCTCGGAGGCCAATCGCGAGGCGCCGCCGCCCGGGGCCAGGCCGGGGAGGTGGTGAGGCGCCGGCACTTGGCACATGGCGCACGGGCAGGGCATCCCGCCCCACTGCTGGAACCCCCCGGGGCCCAGAGGAGCCGAGGCCGACTTGAGGAGGGCGTGAGACGGGGGGGACCTGATGGCCCCGACGCCGCCCACACCCACACCGCCGACACCCGCACCCACACCGCACCGCCGGAGAGCGAAGCCGAGGTCACGTTGGAAGAAGCCACGATGGTGGTGGTGCTGGTCGGTTGGTGGTGGTGGTGGTGGTGTTGGTGGAGGACCGGGTGGTGGGAGGCGGGGTGTCCGCTCAGAGGCGCCCCGGTGTGGCCCAGAGGGTCCCGGAGGGTCCCGACGCAGGCGGCGGCGTGGGCGGCGGCGGCGGCGGAGGAGGAGGAGGAGACCGACGACGGGTGGAAGCCGGCGGCGGCGGCGGCGGCGGCCGCGTGGGCGTGGGCGTGGGCGGCGGCCGCGTGGTGGTGGTGATGGTGCCCACCGTAGATCTCACTCACCAGCCGCTTCATCTCCTCCAGGGAGTTGGTGAGCATCAGGATGTAGTTCCTGGCCAGGAGGAGGGTGGCGATCTTGGACAGCTTCCTGACCGACGGGCCGTGGGCGTAGGGCATGACCTCCCTCAGCCCGTCCATGGCGATGTTCAGGTCGTGCATCCTCTTGCGCTCTCGGCTGTTGATCTTCAGCCGGAGCTGCTGCAGCTCGGGTTCGCTCATCTGTTTCTTGTCCTTGAGCCTCAGGGCGGCTTCCTTCGAGCCCAACGCCAACTGCTCTTCGCTCAAGACCCCCTCCCGCCGCCGGTGGTGGTGGTGGTGGTGATGGCGGTGGTGGTGATGGTGGTCGTCGTCGTCGTCGTCGTCCCCCCCCGCCGCCGCCACCACCACCACGCCGCCCCCGACGCCGCCGCAGCAAATCCCGGACGCGCAGTCGTTCTGGGTCGAGGACACGGTGCCGGAGAAGCCGGAGGTCCTCCCGTCCGAGAGGAAGAGGTCGTCGGTCTCCGGGGATGAGGGTTGGCTTGAGATCAAACTTGCATCGGAATCCATTCGTCTTGGCTTTTGGAGGGACTGGGAGGATGGATGGATGGATGGATGGATGGATGGATGGGTGGGTGGATGGATGGATGGGTGGATGGATGGATGGGTGGATGGATGGAAGGGAGGGAGGGAGGGAGGGAGGGAGGGAGGGAAGAACTTTGCTCTGGTTGTTGGGACTCCCCTCAAGTTGAGTTGAAGGTTGGCAGCTCGTGTCTATGTCTGCGTCCCAAGGTAAGGGTGAGCCACACACAAAAAAAAAGGGAGGTGAGATGATGTCCTCACCGTTTGCATCACGAACCCAAGCTTCCTGCGTTTATATATAAGGCGGATCGAAGATGGTTCAAGGAGGGAGGGAGGGAGGGAGGGAGGGGAGAGAGGGAAGGAGGGAGGGGAGAGAGGGAGGGGACATGTTTGTCTATTGTTTGTGTCTGTCCTTGAGTGTCCAATCGTGACAAGGTAATGGACCAGTGAATTGGAGACTCATCCAATGCGAGAGTGGTGGGAGGTGCTCTCTCCCTCTCTCTTTTTCTCTCTCCTTTCCTCTCTCCTTCTCCAGTTACCATTAACACACACACACACACACAGAGAGAGAGAGAGAGAGAGTGTGTGTGTCAGAGAGAGAGAGAAAGAGAGAGAGAGAACTCTACACAATAGGCAGAGTCAGCAGCCAAGACATCTGCTAGAACCCAAACCACCCACCAACCCACCCCCTCCCCAAAACACACACACACACACACACACACACTGCCTTCAAAGCAATAACTAATGCTCATTGCATTAGTGCATTTAAGTAACACACTTACACACACACTCACACACACAGAGAGAGTTTCAAACAGTTACTATACTATGTTCCCCTTCTCTTCCCCCCCCCCCCCCCCCCTCGAATCTATCTCTAACCAGTCAACTGAAAAAAAAACGAGGTGAAGTCAACCCAACTCTGTGTCAGATTTCCGAAGCAGGGGATCTGCACAATTTTTTTTTATCCCCCCCCCCTCAAAAAAAAATATACTTTAAAAAAACATCATCATCAACATCACCGTTGTTTGGAAAAAAAAATCCCAAACGAATCCGTCTGATAAACTCTTTCCTTTCTTAGAATTTTTTTTTGCAATGATTTGTCTTGACTATTTTTCACATTTTTGGGGGGATTTGAAAAAAAAATAATCGAACCTTTTTTTTTGTCTCTCCAAAAAAAAAAGAAACAAAAAGGGGACAACCGTAGTAAATATCAATCATCTGCAATGATATTTATTGTGTTGGCCCCTTTTTTTTTTGCTTCGCTGTTTGTCGAAATCACTGCAATATTCCGACTGGAAAAAGAGGGCTTAAAGTAATAATGAACAACTCCTTTTTCTCTCTCTCTCCTTTTCTGAAACTGGTTCATTTTTTCTGGACAGAAAGCTTTACAGTAAGTTGCATTTAAATTCTCAACACAACCCCCTCCCCCCCACACCCCCCCACTACACACACACACACTTTACCTCCACATCTCGATTTTCTAGAGATAGCAGCTTCACATAATTACCAAAGACAAGAGTTTTAATACACATACAATCCATCTCAACAGGCATTTTGCTTAATCAGATCTAGTTTGAAATGTGATTTAAAAAAAAGGAGCACACCAAGCTGTTAAAATAAAGACTGACTGGGTCGTACTGACATTTGTACATTTATCGAAGGGTTTCAACAATAATAATATATATATATAAAACGCCTTATCGCATCGCTGAGACTTCTTAAAGAGCTTCGCAGCATATATTGTAAAGTGAATTGACCGTATATGTTGTGGAAAGCAAAAAATCATAATCCTTGCATTTATCACTTTGTTGAGACGTCTCATAACAATACTTGCGTTTGATGTAGCGCCTTATCACGTCTTCGAGACGTCTTCACGGAATATGCTGTAAAGTGAATCGACTGTATTATGTGGAAAGCAAAAATCACAACCCTTGCATTTGATATATATATATATATACACATCAAATGGAAGGATTTGAGTCGCCTCAAATACTGTAAAGTGAATTGACTATGTACAGAATATACTGTGAAGTGAATTGACTGTGTACAGAATATACTGTAAAGTGAATTGACTACAGAATATACTGTAAAGTGAATTGACTGTGTACAGAATATACTGTAAAGTGAATTGACTGTGTACAGAATATACTGTAAAGTGAATTGACTGTGTACAGAATATACTGTAAAGTGAATTGACTGTGTACAGAATATACTGTAAAGTGAATTGATGTAAAATAAATGACATTGATTTGTATGCATATGTAGATATATATATCTATATATATATCTATATATCTATGTCGATGTTGACTTGTAGACACTGGCTTTAAAAGGAGCAAAACTGTGTTCTCTTGGCTACAATGTGTGTTCCTCAACTGTTCCTGTGGACCTGTCTCCCGTGACAAGTACACCTCTCTCCCTCCCCAGGAACACATGTTCCCTGTTTAACAGCTGACTCCACGGGCTTTTAATGAATCGTAGAAAAGTGCCTGAAAGAAACCCTGCATTAAAAGGCGTTGTAATTGTCCTTTAACTGTTATGATCCGTGACAGTTCGATTAGCGAGAAGCTGTTCAGATTTAATCAGTTTCTCTCTCCCCTCCCATCCCCATGTATAAAGGAGGAAATGGGCAGGAGAAAACAAGTGCTATCCTATCCCCTTAAGATTGCTACACTTGTTAATTATATATATACTGTTTGTGGGACATTGCTGTGCGCAATTGGCTGCCGCGTTCGCCCACAAATATACAGTCAATTCACTTTACAGTGTGTTCTGTGAAGCGCTTTGGGACGTCCTCCAGACGTGAAAAGCGCTATATTAAATGCAAGGATTATTATTATTATTATTATTATATATATATAAAATATACAATTATCGACAATTAGTAAAGGCAGCAACATTCAACATGCAAATTAATCCTTGTTCAACTTCATTGCACGTATTTGTTTCTCTTCACCTTGGTACTGTTCTGTTTTGGTGTTTGTGTTGTCCAACATCTGGGTGCTTTTAGATGTTAGATCTCATCTCTTTCTCCCCCCACCCCTACCCCCTTGGAAAAGCGCCATCTAGTGACTTAAATAACATAATTCTTATCCCCAACCCCCACCCGCCCCACCAAAAAAATATAAATACACACATTAACATTATTCATCACACATATATATTCATTCACCCACCCACTTGCAGGTGTTCCCTGAACCTCTTGAGCAAGACTATGTTTTGCTCTTCGTCCAATCTGTATTAATAATGTGTGTATAATAATATTATTATTATTTTACACACACACACATATATATACAAACTTTAAACTTCCCATAGTGAATTTACATTTCAAACAAACATCCCCAACTCTCTCCTCATTACTTTCTTTATGCATAAAAAAATTTTTAAAAATAATATTGCTTTTTTTTTCAGATCTCTCTCTATTTCCCCACCTAAAATGTATTGCTTGTGTTTCCCCCATCCCCAACGCCCACCCCCCAACAAACTAAATGTCTAAAAGGCTCTCACTGTTGTTGTTGCTGTTGTCAGGTCTCTAAAGCAGTCCAATTTCTCCCAAGCAGCCAAATCGATGACAGTCGTATGCGGTGGGGGCGGGGGCATGAAAATGTCTAGAAACCCTGTTTCTAAGGCCAGAATGACTCGTAAAAGTGAACGAACCTGTGCGCGTTTTATTGATTATTGGCGTTGCAACATTTACACATTGCTTGAACAAAAGTTCTATAAGGTCAGGTTCTACCAAGGAAAGGATTGGGGAGTGGGGGGAGAGAATAACCACCAGTTAAAGAGAAGCAGACATCTGCAAAACGTTACTTACATTTTCGTTTGGGAGATTACAAAATACACAAAATGTACGTTTCGCCCACAAAATATACACTTTACCAGTGTATTCTGTGATTGCAAGTTTTTGTGGTCGTACCCCCATCTCCACCCCCAGCCCCCCACACACATACACAAAGATTTGGTGGCCAGCTCAAAGCAACCTCCCACCCTCCACTCCATCAAGCAGAATTAATATCAACCCCTGAGATCCCATTTTAACTTGCGTTCTCCACGCTGATTGGCAAACATAAAACACGAGTGGCCAGATCGCGAAAAAATTTGCAAATCACCTTCTGAAGATGATTCACACTGCCCCCAAATGCAGTTGCACCATCATAGCCCGAATTTAGCCTTCGCTCGAAAGAGATAATACTTGCATTTGATAAAGATCCTTATCATGTCATTGAGACATCTCAAAGTGCTTTGCAGGATATATGTAAAGTGAATTGACTGTATATTGTGTGGCAAAACTCAGCAGCCAGTTGAGCAAAGCAGTCGTGGATTGAGTGACCACATTGTATTATTAATTATTATTTTGAAGGGATTATTAACCCCAGGAAAGCTATCTGCCAATCGACTAAGAACCGGGTTCCTACTTACTGCAAGGTAAACAGAGGTGTGTGGAGTAAGGAAACTTGCCTAAGGTTTCGTCCTGCCTGGGAATCGAACTTGGGTCCTCTCTCTTGCAAGGCAAGTGCTCTAACCGCTAAGCTACAAGGCTCTATTAAGATGTAAGAGCAGATGGCTGGCAGAGGTGAGTAAAGATCGCTCATTAATGACATGCATTTTTCCGTATCCTATCCAGGAATATCTAAGGTTTTGGGGAAAAAGCCTCCCAGAAATGGGCGCAGTGTTCAGGTCTTGAGAGAAACGTAGGCTCTTATAGAGAGTTTTTATTTAACAGGTGAAAACAAATGTGTTACATGAAAGAGGAAGACCAAATTTCTTGGCAGCTGATTTAGCAATGAAGGAGATGCGAGAATGCCACTTGAGGTCAGAGGGGATTAGTTACGCCAGAAAGTGGATAGCTTAGCTATAAAGCTGGTGCCATTGTGAAACCATTGCCTGCAATACAACAGCTGCATTAATGAATTCCGCACCGATTGAAGATGCTTTACCTCGCGCCTGGCATTAAATGGGATCCATGATGATAATTTCTTAACACACTTGCT